GGCTGGCGTGCGGCCGCGCCTCCCGAGGCGGGCGCGTCAGCGTCAGCGAGGGCTCGCCAGCGAGAGCCCCGGCCAAGCACACATCTGCAGGCTGCTGCTCCCGTGCTGCGCTGCCGAGGCACCCGCCTGGCTCGGCTGTTCCCTTGCGGCCTCACGGACGGGCCCAGGCAACACCCCTGCCAGCTTCCCCCGAGCCGAGTCCAAGCGCTTCCGCAGGATCGGCGCCGACGCGATCGTGGGAAGACGGTGGCGAGAACCCGCCCAGCAGCCCAAATCATGTTCCGCATGGTCCGCCGCTTCGGCTCCTGACACGCAGCGACCGTGACGGCAAACCTCGATGCTACACACTGGTCGAGCAGGGACCGACCGTCCCGGCATTCCTATGGCCCTACCACGACATGTTCGCAGAACCCCAACATGTTCTAAGAACAAAAGCAAGGTTGTTCCCGACGTGTGAAAACAAGACAGTCCCAGCCAGAAATGTTCTAAGAACATTTCGTGGGACCCACAAAAGGTTCTTAGAACATTGTTTGGTGGGGCTATAGGCGAGCCGGGACGCTCCGCCACTGCTTGATGCCTCCTCCTTGGCCGCTGCTGCGAGGTGCTGGGGAAACATCTTTGCACTTCGGATCCGTAGGCTGCTCGCGCGACGGGCTCGTCCATCCTGCGTCACGCAGGGGCCGCCGCGTTGAGCAGCACGTCGTGGCATCGCTAACCGCGTCTCCTTTGGACATGCTGCCCAGAGGCTGGAGGACGACTGAATCTGGCGGACGCCTTTTCACGTACACCTTTCTCCATTCTCTTCCACTGCTGTGCTCTGGAGCTCCGAGCCCTTTCTTGTCGTCGCCGTGCGTCGTCGTCGGCCTCCTTGGCCATCTAGACCTCCCTGACCCCAGGCCCCTTTTTTCTGGCCCCGAGAGACCCGAAGAGAACCCGAGAGGGCACCAGGATGGCCCCCACATGCTCCCCCTCCTCGCCACCCTCCCTGTGCAAGAGCCAGGGCACGCGTGCCACTTGTCATTGGGGAGTTGCACGGGGGAGCGCGGGAGCGTCTCCCAAACAACAAGTTGCAGCGCACCGGCCGTGGCACTGTCCGAGCCGCCCAGGGCGAAGAGACGCCTTGCCGCTGCTCTGAGGAAACAGCCGGGCAGCCGCCGCAGCGGTCATCACGAGGCATGTCGGAGGCCACTGCATGCGTGCTGGTGTGCTTGGCGCTCAGCTGTCTGTCGATCCGCCCGCTGCTGGCGTCCATCAAACATCCCGCCGGCTCCCACCAGCCGCTGGCGCTTGCCGCCGCTGGCCTCCGCGGGCCTTCCATCAACTTTCGCCATGGGGAGGTCACTCTCCCCTCCAGGGCTGGACCTAAAAACGTTGTTTCTCATGTTTGTCTCGTTCTGTGCTTCGTGTTGCGCTGCCTGCTTCCCTGTTCCTCCCTGCCGAAACGAAACACAAAACGCAGCCGACGTCCAGCAAGCGTTTAGGGCTTGAGTCGGGCATGTCCCCCTACAGGGGGATTTTGGACAACAGATAATGAATGCCCCCTCCCAAGTGCTCCCCAATGGCCAAAATCAGTAACACAAAGAATCCCCAGACTATCATTTTAGATGGCTATGTTTGAATCTTCCTCCTGTAGGGGGACGGGCCCGACTCACGTCTGGGTCCAGCCGTTGCTCCCCCTGCCGTGGGCGAGGCTGCCCGCTCTGGTGGCCGCTCGCCTCTGCCGCCGCACCCCGCGGCCGTGCGCCTGCGCCTCGTGCGCGGGCGCTGCTGCCGCGCCCGCTGCCTGCCGCACCCTTTTGGGCGGTGCCTGCTGGCTGCGGCGTGCGCGGGCGCGGATCGTCGCGTGGGCCACACGGGGGTGGGCGCTGGACAGGGGGCCTTCGACTTCTGTTCCCATCATACCTGGGCCGGCACGGAAACGGAAAGAGCGCCTAAAACACATTAACCGAAGTTACTGACACCACCGTTCGTACTGGGAGGCTTGGCGTTGAGAGCTTGTTACGTCACCCCTCACTCCTCCTCCTCCTCCTCCTCCTCCTCCTCCTCCTCCTCCTCCTCCTTCTCCTCCTCCTCCTCGTCCTCCTCCTCGTTTTTCTCCTCCTCCTCCTCTTTTCCCTCCTCCTCCTCATGCTCCTCCTCCTCCTCCTCCTCCTCCTCCTCCTCCCCCTCCTCCTTCTACCTCCCTCCTCCTCCCTTGGCCTCGTCCTCGTTCCTCCTCCTCCTCCTCCTCCTCCTCCTCCTCCTCCTCTCCTCCTCCTCTCTTCCTCCCCCTCCTCCTTCTACCTCCCTCCTCCCCCCTTAGCCTCGTCCTCGTTCCTCTCCTCCTCCTCCTCCGCCTCCTCCTCCTCCTCCTCCTTCCTCCTGCTCCTCCTCCTTCTACCTCCCTCCTCCTCCTCGTCCTCGTTCCTCCCTCCTCTCCTCCTCCTCCTCGTCCTCCTCCTCCTCCTCCTCTCCTCCTCCTCCTCCTCCTCCTCCTCCTCCTCCTCCTCCCTCCTCCTCCTCCTCCTCCTCCTCCCCTCCTCCTCCTCCTCCTCCTCCTCCTCCTCCTCTCCTCCTCCCTCCTCCTCCTCCCCCTCCTCGTCCTCCTTCCTCCTCCTCCTCCTCCTCCTCCTCCTCCTCCTCCTCCTCGTCCTCCTCGTTCCTCCTCCTCCTCCTCCTCCCCCTCCTCCTCTTCGGGCGCGCTGGGGAGCCTATTGGGGCCCTCTTGGGCTCTCTTAGGGCCCTCGGGGCCCTCTTGGCCGTATTGGGGCCATCTGGGGGCCATCTTGGACCATCTGGGGGCCCCTTAGGGGCGCCTCTGGGGCCTTCTTGGGATGATCTCTGGGGCCTCTTAGGCCGTCTTGGGCCCGTCTGGGGGCCCTCTTGGACTGTTTTGGGCCCGTTTGGGGCGCCTCCAGGGCCGTCTTGGGACGATATTTGGGGCCTCTGGGCCGTCTTGGGCCCGTCTGGGGAAGAAGCGACCCATGGGAGCCGCCCGGGAGCCGCTTCACTCCAAAAAATACGAGGGAAACGGGCCATTAGACCATTCCGTCCCCGGCTCGCACCCCCCCTGGACCCCCCCTAAGAAGCGCTTCGCCCCCTACTCAACGTCACTCGCTCGTACCTCGCTCTTTCCGTCACCTGAGGACCGCATCCCAGAAAAAATTTCGAGCACCCCGAGAAGTGTCAAAAGAACGTCGAAACGGTGTCGAAACAGTGTCGGGCGAGTGCCTTCCAGGGCCCGACACGTGAAAACCCTTGAATTTCGGTACTCTTCTTTTGGTCGCTCGAAATGTTTCCTGGTGGCCAAGGCTAAAATAAGTTGGAGCATCATAACCTTAGACAAGGAATCCAGGGTCTGGAAGCCAATGGAACTCCAATCGTGGCTCGGACATGCCCGCGCCTCGTGGGGCGCCGCGCTTCTGCTGTTTCTGCACCTTTGAGGCGCCTGCTGACTGCGGCGTGCGCAGGCGCGGATCGTCGCGTTGGCCATACGGGGGTGGGCACTGGACAGGGGCCCTTAGACAAGGAATCCAGGGTCTGGAAGCCAATGGAACTCCAATCGTGGCTCGGCCATGCCCGCGCCTCGTGGGGCGCCGCGCTTCTGCTGCTTGCTGCACCCTTGTGGTGCCTGGATCGTCGCGTTGGCCACACGGGGGTGTGCACTGGACAGGGGCCCTTGGACAAGGAATCCAGGGTCTGGAAGCCAGTGGAACTCCAATCGTGGCTCGGCCATGCCTGCGCCTCGTGGGGCGCTGCGCTTCTGCTGCTTCTGCACCTTTGCGGTGCCTGCTGATTGCGGCGTGCGCGGGTGTGGATCGTCGCGGTGGCCATACGCTGTGGGCATTGAACAAGGTTGTGGATGCCACGACAATGGACGCTCTAACAGTCCTATCATTGAATTTTAAAATGTGTTCACGATGTCGGGACAATGTTCTAAACATGTGTTAGCCATGTGTTTTACATGTTGAAAACATGTTCAGCACATGTTTTAGGCATCTGGGAATTATTTGGCAATATGCTTCCTCTCCATTGATCGTCCTCCACAATGATTACGGCGTGTGCAGGTGTGGATCGTCGCGTTGGCCATACGGTGTGGGCATTGGATAGGGACCGTTCGATAATGGAGGTCCAAGACTAGAGGCCTCCTAGATGGGGTCGGGGCAGGTGGGGTCGGAGGATCGCGCCGCGTCGCCGATACATCGGCGATGCACCAGCGATGCATCGTCGACGTCGGCGATGCATCGGCGACGTCGACGTGGAGCAGATCGGGCCCCACCTCGAGCCGCATCGCCGATGCATCGGCGATGCAGCGCGATCCTCCGACCCCACCTACTCCGACCACATCTAGGAGGCCTAGAAAAGCTTCCACCCCCATAATAATAATAACCCCAAACACGTAAAGTCGTTTAGCAACCGCGCCCAAAGAAGGAATCAAGCAGGGCAGGGCTGTGTAGTAAACGCCCAAGGCCGTCTCGTAAACGCCGATGGTCACGTCCGGGTGAGTTTTCCTCCCTTGAGATAAGGAGTCCAGGGTTTAGCAGCCTGTAGAACCAATCGTGGCTCGGCCATGTATATCACCGCCGCCCTCATGGGATAGGGAATCCTCCGGGGTCTGGCGCCTCCTGGGACTATTCCTTCACAAGCGCCTCCACGGTACCCGCCGCCAGCCTCAGTCCACCTAACACGTGTCATCCAAGTCTAGACGCATATATCCTGGCAGGGCCAATCGGTTGTTAAGGCACTGCGTCGATACACGATTCCGTCTATAGCTTTCCTGGGCGATCACTTGCCGTGGGGAACAATGCCCTCTCCACCAATATCCGCCCACCCCGTTTCTTCCATTCCCTTTGCCTGCTTCATCCCTCGTCCATCCATCGGTTCCCTCGGCTCCCTCTGCAGCGTGCCCACTGAGTTGGGGTCGGTGTCTCTACTTGCCAGTGGGGTCAAATGCATGCCTCCGTTCCCTCGCTGCTCGCGCCTGGCTGCCCGTTCTGTCTCCCGCCCCGCCGCCCGCGCGCCTGGGCGTGAAGCCTCTGCAGGGGGGGCACCAGTGGGCACTGAAGTACAGCAGCACACAGGGCACCCCGCCGAGAGCCTGGCGGCCGAACGGGTGGGGGGGGGGGGCGTTCCGAGAGATGGAGAGAAAGAGAGAGAGAGAGAGAGAGAGAGAGCAGACCAGTGGCTCATGTCTCAAGAAAATCATGCCGACAGGCGAGAAATCACCATTGCTCCGCCGACGCACCCGACATGCCGGAACGCGCAGCGGCTCGCGCGGCTGAGCCCGTCGAGAGGTGCCTCTCTCAGCTCAGTTCGCGCGGCTCCAAGCTGAGAATATGCCCCTGCGGGCAGGGGGAGAGCCACACGCTGCAAGCTGGAAGTGGCATGCGGCCGCAGCCAAAACATGAACACCGTGAGCTGTGAAAGTCATTGGCGCCGCTGGGAGAGCTGGGCCGCGAGTGAGCTCGCCCACCGCACGTCCCTCACGGAATGGCCTGCTCTCAGGCCAGAGAGCCGTTCCGAGCCGTGGGAGTGCAGAGCGTGGCCAGCGCCTGTGCCGAGCTGGGACTGCTGCCAGGGCTCGAGCGAAAGCACCACTCCAAACTCGGACATACAGTGGGAGCTCGACCACAAGAAACCGTCCACAAAAAATCCAACCCTGAGACCCCAAGACGTCCATTGACTTTTGCTGTGGGAGCGCCACGCTTTCCATAGCGAAACCATCGAAACCCAAGAAAACTAAGGCACCCTGGAGGCAAGCAGGGTGTTTCTTGGCACGGGCTTCCACTGCAGCGCCTCTACCGCACAACAGAGAGTGAGCGCACTTGCCGCACGACCCGTCAAGGTGGCCGGCGCCAAGGTGGTTGCATTATCCCTCGGCCTTGGGCATGCAATGCGCGCTGCGGCCCCAACACCCGACGCCGCGCGAACGTGGCCCAGACGAGGGGCGAGGGCGCGACTCACGGCTTGGAGCGGGGCTGGTGCGGAGGCGATAGCCGAGCGAGCTCACCCACCGCGGGGCCCCTTCAGGGGACGGCGAGGGAATGCGGCCAGCGCTCGGACGAGAGCCACAAGGACCCCTCAAGGAGTGGCAGGCGAAATACTGCACCGAGATGGACGCTTGGCTTGCGCTCTAGCACCCCTCCTCCTTCTCCTCCTCCTCCTCCTCCTCCTCCTCCTCTTCGGGCTCTTCCTCCCTTCCCCCTCTCTTCTCCCTCCTCCCTCCTGACTCTTCCCTCCTTCCTCTCACTCTTCCGTCTGTCCTCGCCGCCTCTGCAATCTGCCATGGTGGAGGATGGCATGGATATTCTTGTCACAGACAATGCGGGCACGGATGTTCCCGACGATGAGGAGGATGCGCAGTTGGAAGACTCGTCGGATTTGGATACGTATGCTTCTATCAAAGAGGAATGGACGGAAAAGGCTAAGGATTTGCTGAGGCAGCAGGTACCGTCGCGGAGTCACATTTCCAATGTTCCAGGTCATGTTCAAGAGTCCCCTGCTTTTCGATCTACCAAGGGGGAAGCCACTGACCTCGGTATCTGTTTCGCCACCTGGGTCGACACCATGGAGTTGTATTGCCTTGAGTTATAGACGGTGACGCCCATGGAGAGGAAGTAGTATCGTGGTCGGGCTGCTCAGAATGGACCCCAGCTTGGAGTTTATCGGGGGTCCAAGCCTTCGTCTCTTCTTCGGATCCACATGCTCAGTGGTGGGCCACCGTGTCCAATCTGCTCGAGGAGTTGACGCACCCGAAAGCCGACAGGAGTGGGACACCCCGAGCCCGACATCTTCGGGACCAGCTCCGTCGCTCGGCAGGGTCCTGTCCCAATGCCCCGATCGTTCCATTGCCAGCTCGACGTCGAAATCGATGGGCTCGCGCGCTGAGGACACTGGGCGACGCGACCTTCTCATCAGTGGAGTCAATCGCGCAGACTGCCAGGATAGCTGCGGACCCAGCTCTCAGGGCAGTGGGGCGACAGAGGGTCCTCGCCTTTCGTGATTGGGCTCATCAACAGGCGGTCGAAGGCCGTGGAGCCCTTCACGGGTGTGCGAAGGATAGCACGGCAGACACCAGTGAGGTGCGAGGTGACGGCCCGACGTCTTTCGACGCCTGCTTCGGCGATGGAGGTCGAGGCCCAGGTACGGTGCAAACTCTGGTCGCCTAAAGGCTTCGATGATCAGAGGGCGATGGAGGTGTTGGCCAGTGCTCGGCAGTTGGCTCGCTTTGAAGGGGCCCTAGGACACACAAATAAATACACACAACTAAAACTATTCCCCATGTTTTCATATATTTTCTGGGTTTTTGTGTTCCCCCCCCCCACTTCCCATATTTTCCCATATTTTCCTGGGGATCGACGATTAATTGTGTCTGTGTGTGTTTTTTTCCCTCCTGAGTGTTGGCCAGCGCTCGGCAGTTGGCTCGCTTGGGCGACCTGGAGCCTCCGACTCTCGTGCAGCTCGACGGGGCCCTGCGATCTGTCCCGCCGAGGGTCGCGGGGGCCGTCGAGGCCGCCGGGTGGCGCGACATCTGTCGGGGAGACGTAAGACTCGGGTACGGGTGACTCGGGTTGGCCCGACGGGGCCATCATAAAAATGGCGAGGCCCAATCTGAAATTTGACGCGAGCTCCCGCTGCAGACATCCCACGAAAACTGGACCGTCAAAATCCAGGACGCGCTCGTCAAAAAAACGTCGGCAAACCCGAGCTCCGGCTTACTCGGGTCTTGCGTTCCCCCGAATCTGGTGGCTGCCCGAGTCTGGTCGCCTCGCCCGGTTGCACCTGTCTCATGCCATCGAAGCCAATGTTGCTTGGCCTCGGCAGTGGCTCACTGCGCTGCAGTGAGGGCGCGGCCGCAAGAAACCCTCGCAAGAAACCCAACCCTGAAAACCCGCGCGCGGGGTGCGCCTGAGGGGAATCCTGGAGCGCCCCGAACGCGGCAGCTTCTTCAGCGGCTGCGGGAGGTCACCGCGCAGCGGGCGGAGCGAAGAGGCCCAGGACACCCTGACGACACGCGGATGGCTTCTTGCTGCGCGCCCCCACCGTGACCGTCTTGCTTCGCAGGCCTGGTGTGCGCAAGGAGCGCGCCGCGGGCCGGGCCGCACCCGGGCAAGGGCCGCCCGTGGAGAAGGCCGGGGGCCTCGCCCGGCGGAGGCCCTGGGCGCCGGCCCGCTCGGGGCTCGAGGGAGGCCCTGGGGACGCTGCGGCTCGAGGCGGCCGGGGCTCTGCGGGAGGCCCTGCGCGGGTGCTGTGCCGGCGAGGCTGCGCCGGCAGCTCTCTCTCGCCCGAAGCCTGCTCCGCGGCGGTCTGCTTGGGGCGTAGGAGGCCTGCCTACGATCCCATCGGACGGGAGGAGGCCGCGGCTCACGCTGCCGATCTAGATTTCCCGCCGCACCCATTGGCTCTTCAAGGGGTCCTCCACATGCGGGCCAGGGTGCTTCGTGATGAGGGGTGCTGTGCTCCTCCCATCATCCCTCACGGGGTCCTCGTTGCTGGCGCTCGCGGAGCCCCCGACCCTTCGAAGTGCCAGACGTTTCCAGCATCGCGAGCGGGCGTGTGCTTGCAGTTTCCTGGTCTCCCTCCGCACGCGGATCGATGATGCCACACAGCGTGCGTGTGGGGTTGGGGGCGAGACGCTGCTCGTGAGTCAGTTTCGGCTGGTGGCGTCTTCGCCACGGGCTGCGCGAAGGAAGATCGCAGGATGGCAAATACATATTGGCCATTACTTCGGGTTCGTCGGTCGCGCGTGAGATTCAGGCCGGCCTGGGTCTGCAGGGCACCCGAGTTGAACTTACCTCTGTGTCGGCTGACCTTGGCGTCGAGAGTGGCAGCGGGGTGTCTGGGGCCAAGCCGCGCCATTCCGAGCGCATCAGCCAGGCTCAGCGTCATGGCTTTCTGGAAGAAAGCAAAAACAACATAAACAGAAACTGTTGGCGCTCTGCGCGGATTTCTTGGATCCGCGCTGGACCCCCCTCCCTGGCGCGCGGAGCGCGCCAGGGGCGGCGCCGGAGGCGCCGCCGGGCGGGCCCAGCGCGGATCCAAGAAATCCGCGACCGTCGAAAGTTTGTGCGTTTATGCCATGCTTCCTTCTTCGATCTCCGAGTGTTATCTGGAGTGGTGCCTCGGAAGATCGGGGGCGCGCCTCATCCTCGCCAGGGCTTTGCGGCTGGCTGCCTATGCCGTCGGATGGTCTTCGCGGTCGCGCCGTCGGCCCTCCAGGAGTGCTAACTATAGCGTCGAGCACTGGCGAGTCCCCCGCCCGGGGGCACGGTGGGGAGATGCCTCACTGCTCTGCTGGCCCTCGGGGTCGGGCAGAAGGGCGCCTTCAGATTCCAAGTTCTTGTTCCTGGTGTCGGATCGCTGCTTCCTGGCTTCGGGCCGCTGCTGCCTTGCCTGCAGCGGCGGTTGGCAGGAGGCACGAGTGTGGGGAAAGTGGAGCGGATCGGGGCCATTGGGGCCCCCCGGGAAGGTGGCACAACATTGGGGGGCCTGTCTCTGCGGTCCTTGCCGCCAAGACGTCCTCGGGATGGAAGCTCGGGGGGCCCTGGCGGTGGGAGGCTCCTCGTGGTGACGTGCTTGCTTTGCCCGGTGAGCTTCGGTCCCTGGCATATATGTCGTCGGGCTTCAAGCGTGAAGTTGACCCTAGCATCGAGTCTAAGCTTTGGGCGTCGGCTGCCAGCTTCAGGAACGGAGAAGGATGGTTCGAAGGTCCTGGCCTGACTATTGCCTGGCGCCAGGTGGGCTCTCTGCGCAGGAAGCGTGTTCGGAAGTGGGGACTCGGTGCTCACGGGATCGGCTTGGTTCCGATCCGTATCATAGCTTCTGCAGGGGCTTGTGACCCCCGGTTTCCTCGATGTGGCTGTGACCATGAGTCTGACATCCATCGTTTTTGGGAATGCCATGCCAATTCAGCATTTCAGGAGATGCCGGATGCCTTTGCGAAGCGAGGGTCTAGTGCGTCTGCCGATCTCCCGTGCTGTTGTTGGTTGCGCGGCCTTCAAGAGGTCCTTCAGGAAGGCCC